TGTTTTTTCTTGTCGTAATGATAAGTGATTAAATGCAGTTGACTCTCTTTTGTTTGTGGTTGTCGATTGTGTAGTAATTTGGAAAAATGTGAACGACTATAAAATAATATCAGCAAACTGTTGAGGAAGGCCACGATGAGGGCCGAAGATCACTTGGACGCGCACGTGGTGGCCTGATGAGAGCATGAAGCACGGGCTGCTGGAAGATGAGGTGCAGCTGGTGGACCAAAGGTTGTGGGGCGGGAATTTTGGAGCGATGAATGTGTTTTCCTGTACGGTTTTAAGCAAGTTAGCTTTATTTTCATTTGACACTAAACCTGTTATGAGTTTTTGAGGTTTCTTCAATTTTTTTTTCTTCAATATGGTGTGTATATTGACTTGGTTATATTATCGTGATTTTTTTTTGTTTATTTTTTCGTATAATGAGCGTTTGATTCTATAATTATATTTAAAATAAAGTTTTAGAAAAAAAATTTAAATAACAAGCGCGTTCGTGTATCGCACGTGATGCTCACTAGTTACATTGATAAGGTTTGTTTAAAGAGATAAACATAAATAAAATAGATAAACATAATTTATTTACCAAACATGTTTGTGGAATATACACGATATTATTCATGGAATTGATACTAAACTATTCGATCTAAAATTATTTTATAAAAATATCAAAACATTTGGCATGTCAATTTAAATTATGTGGGAATTTTATTGATAATATTAGTTTTATGTGTATTTTTTGTGTGAATTTTGTTGAAATAAAATTATAACATTTTATAGAGTAAAAGATAAGGACAAATTCGATGTACAAGATAAGGCAAATCATGCGATTCTTTTTATTTGAATTGTTAAAATCAAATTTTAAGTCAAAATTGTGGATTGATACATATATAAACGAATTAGTTGGAGTTAACAACTAGGGATGAAAACGGTGCGGTGCGGTGCGGATAATGCCTTTCCCACATCCTAATCCATTTTATTTTTGTGGATTTGGAGCGGAGCGGATATTGGGCGGATACGGATGTAGATGCGGATTGTTTCGGATATCAGAGATGGTACGGATTCGGAGCGGAAGCGGATCGGATGCGGATTTATATAGTCGGATAATACATGCTTCTACTCAACTCTTTATGATGAATAATAATTAATAAAGCAAAGTTGCAAGAAAAATTAAAAAGAACACAAAACATTGAGTTCCTTAGGTACTTAGCTAACGAGACGAGCCAAGTACATAGCTAGTTCACAACTAGCTAAGCTAAACCATTAATAATTAAGCAATACACCCGCTATACAAAATCATAGCCTAATAGTCATAGGCAGAGACGGATTTGTATTGGGCCCAGGGGGGCCCATGGGCCCCCCTGATTTTTTTTTTAACCTATATATATACATATATAATATATATATAATATATATTCATATAAAGAAAATATTAAAAATATGTATAAAAATCTACAAAGTATTTAAGATATATTACTAATTATTTTTTGTGCTATTTTAATTTAAATTAATAAAAATATTTATTTTAAAAATGTTCTAACAATGTTATATTTTACATTTTTAGATTATTTTTTGAAAATATTTATAATGATTTACTCTTTGATCTCTTAATTTTGAATCGAGTTAGTGATTTATAAAACCTAGTATTAAATACTGTTACATTTGTTAATGTTGATTTTTTACTTTTTTTTTGTGTTAAGTCACATATTTTAAACTCATTTATTTTTTTCTTAAAAAATGTTCATTTGATAACTCTCATTAACAAAAATTTTATGAAATTTACTGCAAAAGTTTTTGTTTATTTTTTTTTCTTCTTAAAACTCGTTCATTTGATGAACCCAATGTACTGCAAATGTTTTTTTTTATTTTTTTCTTAAATTATAAGTACATAAAAGTCACACTTTTTTGTTTATTTTTTTAAAAGTTTTAGGGCGAGATTTTTTAAATATTTGATGGTACACATATCGATAATTATATTTATAGTAAATACTTTTTCATATAAAATAAGCGTGTCGCCTTAAACTACAAGCTCGTTATAATATTTAAAATCGGGCCCCCTGAGCGAAATTCCTAGATCCGTCAC